TTGCTGGGCTCCGGTGATCCTTCTGCCTCTGCATTCCAAGTAGCTGGAACACAGGGGCATGCTACCACGCCCGGCTCATTTTTGATTTATTGTAGAGACGAGGTCTCACCAATTTGCCCGGGCTTGTCTCTAACCTGCGGGCTCAGGCAATCCACTCGCCTCAGCCTCCCAAAGTTCTGGGATTACAGACTGAGCCACCGAGCCTGGCTTATGCCTCAGTTTCTATTAGGGATAGCACACCCAGAGAGATGATAACTGTGTCTCATTGGAGTGTTGATCAATTGAATTAATCCATAATGAAGGTTTAGAACAATGCCTGGCACCTAGTCAGTTAACTCAATGCTTTTCAGCGATTACTATTTTTTCCCAGGCTCTCCAGTCTTTGAAACTATTACCGTTTTTAAAATAAAGGCCTGTTTTGCTGGCACAGAAGTATTTGGTGATGCATGTGGAAAGGCAGAAACATAGATGGATTTCATGAAGGTAGTGGTAGGAGGGGAAAAAGAGAAAGAAAAGGGACTGAACAACGGCATAGCAAGAACACTCCACAAAAATGAGCAAAAAGGGTTCAGGATAGAACTCTTTTAGTAAAAACAGCCTTCTTCCAGGTCTACAGTGTTCAAAGCTGGACTGTTTAAGAGAATATCTCTTGGAGATTAAATGGAGAAAATTTGATTTTGATTAAAGAAGCATTTTCTTCGTGTGTGTCCACTTAGAGCTCAAAGTATATTGCCAAGGAGTTTGGCTAGGTTGTATAGAAGGAAACCAAGAGCTATAAAAAGTCAGGAGACTGGGGATCAAGTCCTAGCTCTGTCCTAAGTGGCTGATGCCATATTAAGCCAACTCCATTAATAATTGAGTCTTTCAAAAAGGGGCCAGAACTATTTCCTACACTCCACATGCATGTAACATTCTCTGATTCTGACCCAGGGGCAGGATCTCAAGAGAGCATAACGGTTGCTCCTCTCACCCCAAGATTCCTTCCCCTCAAAAAAAAAAAAGCCTTAAAACGAAGAGCAGCTGGTGTTCCTTTAACTTTTCTCAGGGCCCTTTCCAAAAAGAGCACAATTTCTAAATGCTGACATTGGGAGACAGCTACCTTTTTCTTTTCCCATCCATTTCAGAAAAGTCTAGCTGTTCATTTTTTCCTATGGCCTACCTAGAGGTGCTTCCAGATTGAAATTGGAAGAAAAGTGAGGATTGCTGAAAAGAAATGAAACTTATTTTGTCTGATTCTCTGGAAGGTGGTTGTACAGGTAGACTGTGGTGGTCTAGGTTCAAACACCGTTCAGGTTAACAAACACTGCCCTAGAGGCTGGAATCCAGTCAACCAGTATTAAGAGACTGATTTGTTAAGGCCTCAGGACACCGGACATACTGAAAGGCTGTCTTATGGGCAACATGCTGCTTACAAACTCTCAGTAAATGACAAATCAATTTGGATAGTGGCCAGGAGACGTGCTGTTAGCAAAACCATTGGTCCTGACTCTCTGTGACCCTGAAGGAAGGCATAAGAGCGTAGAAAAAAAAAATCTTGAGGAGATGGCTGCTTGTCCAAGGGCTATGGACTTGCATCTTGTTTGCTCATCAGCCTGTCAGTCATTTTTTCTTTTTTCTTTTTTTACACGAGACAAAATCTGAACTCAGAAACACAGAAGCTAGAGTTTTTTTTCCCATAGGCGAAGCCACTACTTTTAAGACCCTGTAAAAACGACTCTGGCCTGGCTAACTCCGGCTAGCCCAGAGGAAGGGAGCCTCCAGCCAGCCCAGAGGGGTCCGCACTGCGGGGCAAAAAGCGACAGCTCAGACCCAAACACCGAGGTTCCATCACCAGCCAATCGTGGCCCGGGGCTTCGCAAGAAAACCAGAAACGCCTAAGGGTAGTGAAAGGCACTGAAGCCAGCCTGTCCGCGCAAAGACAGCGAAGGGGGCGGGTTCAAAATGAGCCAATAGGGTAGAAGTAGTTGTCGGGAGGGAGGAAGACGCCAGCTAGCGTGCGTGAGGCCGCTCCCGGGAAGAGACGGCAGGAAGCTCGGGAGCCAATGGCCGCGGCGGGCGGGCGGCGGTGCGCATGCGCGCTGGGCCCCGGGGCTGCAGGCGGGAGGCGGGGATGGTGGGGGAGGGGAGCTGGCTGGAGCGCGGCGGAGCTTCTGCCGCCGCTGCAGCCGCCGCCGCCGCAGCGAAGAGGCCATGTTGTGTGGTGTGTGGGGCGGGGGGAGGAGGAGGAGGGAGTAAAGCCGAGAGAGGAGACG